GGCGCTGCAGATCAGCATGAACGCGCCGGTGCTGGTGGCCTTGGAGGGCGAGACGGATCCGCTCATCATCGCCCAAAAGGAGCTTCGCGAGGGTGTCATACCGCTCATCGTACGGCGTGTGCTTCCGGACAACACGTATGAGGACTGGCGAATATGCGAACTGGACATCGACTTTGACCGTCCCGCTGACGAGCGATACACAAACATCTGAAGGGCAAGAGCGTGCTGGAGCGGGTGCTTTTCCCTTGTTGTCCTGTCGCGCACAGAGGTACGCGCTCAGCTGTCAGTGTTTCCACGCGCTGATGACCCCCTCCTTGCCGAACTGGTGTGCATTTCCCCATGTTCCTCTTTTCCTTCCGCCCTCCCTCTCCCCGAAGCAAGGCTAAGGCAAGAAGCAAGCTCTCTCACAATCGTCAAGGAGGAAACATGTGTTCTTTCTGCCGTGTAATCGTGTTGGTTCTCGCCATGCTGGCCACCGCCTGCGCTGTGTGTGCGAACATCTTTCCTGTGTTCAAGAAGGAGAGCGACGCTGCGAAGGTAAAGCAGACACTGTGGTACAACCAGACGACCGTTCCAGGTGGCGTTGGTACCAAGGTTGATGTGAGTGATAGTTTGTGCGGGCAGTACAAGCTATTTTTTCAGGTATCAGAGGGTGCGGCTGTGGCTGCGGCAGGCATTGGCCTCGTCGTCGTGTTATTTGTGATTATTCAGATGATTTTTCAGAGAATTTGTTGCTGCTTGGGGTGTGCCACGTCCTTGTTGATTTCAATTGCATTTGTCGCGTGTGTAGTGTGTCTGGCGCTCATTGTGTATGGGTACATGAGGGGTTACTGCCAGAGCGACGCCGTGCTATCCTCGCAGTACGGTCCCTTTAAGGATCAGGGCTACAAGTTTTCCGAGGCCTTCTACCTCATTTGCGCCGCCTGTGTTTTCTTTTTTGTTTCCAGCTTCTTCCAGTGCTGTGCTTAGAAGTAAAAAGAAAAAAATACGTTTGTAACAACAAACGTCGGTATCTTTGGGTGCCGATTAATATACGCATATATATTTTCTATTTTTCAGTATTTGAGACCTCAGTGAGGTGTAACCTGTAAATGATGACGTGCGTCAGGAGGAGTTACTTCTTCGTTGCGGTTGTGCTTCCACGCGCTGATGACCCCCTCCTTGCCGAACTGGTGTGCATTTCCCCATGTTCCTCTTTTCCTTCCGCCCTCCGTCTCCCCGAAGCAAGGCTAAGGCTATGAGCAAGATCTCTCACAATCGTCAAGGAGGAAACAATTTCTCCTGCCGCGTGACTGTGTTGATTTTCACCATTTTGGCTATTGGCTGCGCTGTGTGTGCGAACATCTTTCCTGTGTTCAAGAAGGAGAGCAACACGAAGAAGATAAAGCAGACACTGTGGTACAGCCAGACGACCGTTCCAGGTGGCGTTGGTACCAAGGTTGATGTGAGTGATAGTTTGTGTGGGCAGTACAAGCTATTTTTTCAGGTATCAGAGGGTGCGGCTGTGGCTGCGGCAGGCATTGGCCTCGTCGTTCTGGGACTTGCTATCGCCCAGCTCATTCTGGAAGAAAAGAGCTCCCGCTTCACTTGCTGCGCAGCCTCACTGATTTCCCTTGCGTTCGCCGCTTGCGGAGCATGCGTGGCGCTTATTGTGTATGGGTACATGAAGGGTTACTGCCAGAGCGACGCCGTGCTATCCTCGCAGTACGGTCCCCTTAAGGATCAGGGCTACAAGTTTTCCGAGGCCTTCTACCTCATTTGCGCCGCCTGCGGTCTTTTTCTGCTTTCCAGCTTCTTTCAGTGCTGTGCGTAGAAGTAAAGAGCGGCAGCGCCGCACGCGACCCATGGATAGCGCAGGAGGGAAGTGCTGTGTGGCGAACGTATTGTTTGCGCACTGATTTGCCACCTGGTTTTCTTTGGAAACATACGGAAAAGAAGTGTCTTTATTTTTGTTGCTGTTGCTTTTAGTGGTGTTAGCATATTCAGTTTTATGTTTTCTTCTCCTCTGAGCATTTTTGCTTTGCGTGTGCTCGGCAATACCTTTGCCGGAATGCCACCATCAGCGTGGTTTGTGTGAGTAGCCATTCGCTGTAATTGTTTGTCGTATGTTATTGCTTTTTGTGCGACGACAAACCAGTGGTTGGTTTAGTGCGAGTGCGCTGCTCTGTTTGCCGTTGTCGCTGCCCACCGCTGTTTGGCGTGCGCACGTGCGTCCCGGTGATTTGTTGCGCGTGTGTATGGTGCCTGTGTGCGGGGAAGTGACGGTCTGCTGCACCAGTTGTGCTGTGCTCTGCGTGCGAGGGGCACGGGCGCACGTAGCTGGTGTGATATTTGCCTCTTTTTGCTCTGTGGGTGTTGTTGTGGGTTGCTTCTGGGGAAGGAAGGGAGATGTCCGACCGTGACGGGGATGACGACCGGCTGAGTCTGAACTTCGGCGAGGAACAGGAGGAGAGCACCCTGCGCAGTGATGACGAACAGAGCGAGGGCGATGGCGCGGACGTTGTCCTGTCCGGGCGTGCGGCGAGCGGCTCTGCCGTAAGACGCGACGGCAAGGACCGTGTGACTGCGCCGGTGCTGACAAAATACGAGCGGGCCCGCATCCTTGGCACACGGGCGCTGCAGATCAGCATGAACGCGCCGGTGCTGGTGGCCTTGGAGGGCGAGACGGATCCGCTCATCATCGCCCAAAAGGAGCTTCGCGAGGGTGTCATACCGCTCATCGTACGGCGTGTGCTTCCGGACAACACGTATGAGGACTGGCGAATATGCGAACTGGACATCGACTTTGACCGTCCCGCTGACGAGCGATACACAAACATCTGAAGGGCAAGAGCGTGCTGGAGCGGGTGCTTTTCCCTTGTTGTCCTGTCGCGCACAGAGGTACGCGCTCAGCTGTCAGTGTTTCCACGCGCTGATGACCCCCTCCTTGCCGAACTGGTGTGCATTTCCCCATGTTCCTCTTTTCCTTCCGCCCTCCCTCTCCCCGAAGCAAGGCTAAGGCAAGAAGCAAGCTCTCTCACAATCGTCAAGGAGGAAACATGTGTTCTTTCTGCCGTGTAATCGTGTTGGTTCTCGCCATGCTGGCCACCGCCTGCGCTGTGTGTGCGAACATCTTTCCTGTGTTCAAGAAGGAGAGCGACGCTGCGAAGGTAAAGCAGACACTGTGGTACAACCAGACGACCGTTCCAGGTGGCGTTGGTACCAAGGTTGATGTGAGTGATAGTTTGTGCGGGCAGTACAAGCTATTTTTTCAGGTATCAGAGGGTGCGGCTGTGGCTGCGGCAGGCATTGGCCTCGTCGTCGTGTTATTTGTGATTATTCAGATGATTTTTCAGAGAATTTGTTGCTGCTTGGGGTGTGCCACGTCCTTGTTGATTTCAATTGCATTTGTCGCGTGTGTAGTGTGTCTGGCGCTCATTGTGTATGGGTACATGAGGGGTTACTGCCAGAGCGACGCCGTGCTATCCTCGCAGTACGGTCCCTTTAAGGATCAGGGCTACAAGTTTTCCGAGGCCTTCTACCTCATTTGCGCCGCCTGTGTTTTCTTTTTTGTTTCCAGCTTCTTCCAGTGCTGTGCTTAGAAGTAAAAAGAAAAAAATACGTTTGTAACAACAAACGTCGGTATCTTTGGGTGCCGATTAATATACGCATATATATTTTCTATTTTTCAGTATTTGAGACCTCAGTGAGGTGTAACCTGTAAATGATGACGTGCGTCAGGAGGAGTTACTTCTTCGTTGCGGTTGTGCTTCCACGCGCTGATGACCCCCTCCTTGCCGAACTGGTGTGCATTTCCCCATGTTCCTCTTTTCCTTCCGCCCTCCGTCTCCCCGAAGCAAGGCTAAGGCTATGAGCAAGATCTCTCACAATCGTCAAGGAGGAAACAATTTCTCCTGCCGCGTGACTGTGTTGATTTTCACCATTTTGGCTATTGGCTGCGCTGTGTGTGCGAACATCTTTCCTGTGTTCAAGAAGGAGAGCAACACGAAGAAGATAAAGCAGACACTGTGGTACAGCCAGACGACCGTTCCAGGTGGCGTTGGTACCAAGGTTGATGTGAGTGATAGTTTGTGTGGGCAGTACAAGCTATTTTTTCAGGTATCAGAGGGTGCGGCTGTGGCTGCGGCAGGCATTGGCCTCGTCGTTCTGGGACTTGCTATCGCCCAGCTCATTCTGGAAGAAAAGAGCTCCCGCTTCACTTGCTGCGCAGCCTCACTGATTTCCCTTGCGTTCGCCGCTTGCGGAGCATGCGTGGCGCTTATTGTGTATGGGTACATGAAGGGTTACTGCCAGAGCGACGCCGTGCTATCCTCGCAGTACGGTCCCCTTAAGGATCAGGGCTACAAGTTTTCCGAGGCCTTCTACCTCATTTGCGCCGCCTGCGGTCTTTTTCTGCTTTCCAGCTTCTTTCAGTGCTGTGCGTAGAAGTAAAGAGCGGCAGCGCCGCACGCGACCCATGGATAGCGCAGGAGGGAAGTGCTGTGTGGCGAACGTATTGTTTGCGCACTGATTTGCCACCTGGTTTTCTTTGGAAACATACGGAAAAGAAGTGTCTTTATTTTTGTTGCTGTTGCTTTTAGTGGTGTTAGCATATTCAGTTTTATGTTTTCTTCTCCTCTGAGCATTTTTGCTTTGCGTGTGCTCGGCAATACCTTTGCCGGAATGCCACCATCAGCGTGGTTTGTGTGAGTAGCCATTCGCTGTAATTGTTTGTCGTATGTTATTGCTTTTTGTGCGACGACAAACCAGTGGTTGGTTTAGTGCGAGTGCGCTGCTCTGTTTGCCGTTGTCGCTGCCCACCGCTGTTTGGCGTGCGCACGTGCGTCCCGGTGATTTGTTGCGCGTGTGTATGGTGCCTGTGTGCGGGGAAGTGACGGTCTGCTGCACCAGTTGTGCTGTGCTCTGCGTGCGAGGGGCACGGGCGCACGTAGCTGGTGTGATATTTGCCTCTTTTTGCTCTGTGGGTGTTGTTGTGGGTTGCTTCTGGGGAAGGAAGGGAGATGTCCGACCGTGACGGGGATGACGACCGGCTGAGTCTGAACTTCGGCGAGGAACAGGAGGAGAGCACCCTGCGCAGTGATGACGAACAGAGCGAGGGCGATGGCGCGGACGTTGTCCTGTCCGGGCGTGCGGCGAGCGGCTCTGCCGTAAGACGCGACGGCAAGGACCGTGTGACTGCGCCGGTGCTGACAAAATACGAGCGGGCCCGCATCCTTGGCACACGGGCGCTGCAGATCAGCATGAACGCGCCGGTGCTGGTGGCCTTGGAGGGCGAGACGGATCCGCTCATCATCGCCCAAAAGGAGCTTCGCGAGGGTGTCATACCGCTCATCGTACGGCGTGTGCTTCCGGACAACACGTATGAGGACTGGCGAATATGCGAACTGGACATCGACTTTGACCGTCCCGCTGACGAGCGATACACAAACATCTGAAGGGCAAGAGCGTGCTGGAGCGGGTGCTTTTCCCTTGTTGTCCTGTCGCGCACAGAGGTACGCGCTCAGCTGTCAGTGTTTCCACGCGCTGATGACCCCCTCCTTGCCGAACTGGTGTGCATTTCCCCATTTTCCTCTTTTCCTTCCGCCCTCCCTCTCCCCGAAGCAAGGCTAAGGCAAGAAGCAAGCTCTCTCACAATCTCCAGTAAAGGATAATGTATTCTCGCTGCCGCGTGATCGTGTTGGTTCTCACGGTGCTGGCCATTGTGTGCGTCTTTTTTTCTCATATCTTTCCTGTGTTAATTAAGAAGAGTGAATCTCTTAAAACGGTGTATACACTGTGGTACGCGCAGTCGACTTTGCCGGATGGCAGCAGTATCAGACGTGCTGTTGCTGGAAGCTCTTGCGGTCAGTACAGGACTTTTTTTCAAGCGGCTGAGGCTTTCTCTGTTCTTTCAATTGGCATTGGCCTCGTCATTGCTGTGTTTTGCTTTTTTCAGTTTCTGTGCGTGAAAGTACGTTTTTTTTTTTGTTTTATTTGGTGCTTGATGTTTCTTGCGTTTCTTTTCTGTGGAGCGTGTGTAGCGGTTATTGTGTATGGGTACATGAAGGGTTTTTGCCAGGGTGGCGGCCCGATCTCTCTTAATTTTGCACCTTTTAAGGATCAGGGCTTCGATTTTGGGGTTTCTTTCTATTTCATTTGCATTGCCTGTGGTCTTTTTCTTCTTTCCAGTTTTTTTGAGTGCTTTGCATAAGACATCTCTAGAAATTTTAGTTCGGAGGTCTGTGTTATGCCGTCGAATGTGTTTTTTTTTTTTTTCTTTTCTTATTTTCGTTGAAGAATTGCGAATAATAGTGGTTTGTTGTGCGGTGTAAGAAGAACTTTTTTTTTGGTTTAATTATTCGCTTTGGTGTTTTCCAATTAGTTTTGGGTTGAATTATGTATCCGCAAATGGTTTCATCTTTCTTTCTTTCTTTCTTTTTTTTTTTTTCTTATTTATCCGTCTTGCTATTGTGTTTTTTGTGCTGCTTGCATGGACCTGTTGTTATTGTTTTGTTATTGCGCGTCCCTGTGGGATTTTGTCGTGGCGTTGCAGATTTTGCCAGGCTTTTCTTTTTTTGCTGTTTGCTGGATGCTCATTTTTTGTGTTGCATTTTTTTTTTTTTTGGCGTGCCGCTGGGGATTTCCCCGCAGGCTTGCAGGGTCGTGTGCGGCGACAGGGACGGGCTGCGGTGGCGGCGGGGAGGAGAGAGTGGGCGGGGCCGTGGAAGAAACGTGCGCCGCCGGTGCGATGTCTCTTCGAGACGACATTGAGGCCCTGACGGCGGCCCTCCATCGTTTCTCCCGATTGCAGGACTGCGGCAGCAGCAGCGATGCAAGAGGAAAGGACGTGGGACGACACCCGGACCGCGACGGCGCACTTGCGCCGCAATTATCGGATGTTGATATCTCTGCCATCTCTGTGACCGCGGAGGGTGATGAACACGATGATGACATCTTATCTGCAGTGACGCAACAGGCACCCACGGTGCTGCTTCGAAGCCGGAAGTCTTTTGACGACAATTCTGCAGTGCCTCCAAGCAGCAACACGACGGCATTGCCCTGCGGCGATGGGTCGGGTTCAAATAGACAGCGCGGCAGAGGGACGGGGTTTGCGCGTGTCCTCGTGCCACAGGAAAAGGGGATGTTGAAGGACTCTTGCACGGTAGTGTGGGAATCGAACGGTACTTGCCCTGAGAGTTTGTCGGTGGCGGCTGAGGAATCCGCCCAGCGATCTAGCATTTTATTGAACGCCACAGCCACCTCTGGGAACAGCACCGCGTGTCAATATGAGCCAAAACATAGTCTGCGCCAGATGGAGGAGGCGTACAAGCTCATTTTGAGGAAGCTACTGGCAGAGATAAGGCGACTGGATGCCCATACTGCGGTTCTATCCGCACGGTGTGAGGGTGAACGAGAAAACTTGAAGCATGTGCAGCGTAAACACGAAAAAGAGCTTATGGACAGTAACGCTTTAATCGGTGCACTAAGGCAGCAACTTGTAGGCATGTGCTCAGGTTGCGGGGGCGCATTGGCCGGTGGCGCGCGCGTCAGCAGCGGCAGTGAATGGACGCTGGGAAATTACGGTACCCGGTACAGCCCAACTGTTTTGAACAGGTGGTCTACAAAAGAGAGTCGAAGTGGAAGTGGCGCTGGAACCACGAGTGGTTTGTACCCGCACGATCGGCCTGTCGTTTCCAGTGAGTTATGTGGGATGAGCTCCTCTTTCACGGCGGAAACATTCTCTGGGCAACTGCCGCAACGAACATCTGAGGAAATTGATAGAGGAGGGAGTGGCGCTAGTCCAATGCGTCAGAGGGTCAGTGGCAATGATGTCACCTCGACGCGCCCACATTCTCTTACGGGGTTTCTGCAGCAGAGACTTTCTTCCTCGGGGACCGCCCGAGTTTCGGAGGAGGTAGCGACACAGACAAGCAACCCCACGATGCCCGCAACAACAGCGACAGACTCTGGGCGATTGGTTGGCATCTTGGAGGAAATGTCTGGAAGGATTTCGGCGTCTCCATTGGGGGACGTTGGCAGGAGCAACAGAGGTGATGCTGATCACCCGGTGCGATGCACCACATCGGAACCCACAGTGTGTTTCTCCCACGAGAAAGACGGGAAGCGGGGTTTGCGTGTATTTACAGAGGCCAACCGGCGCGAAAAGCGACGAAATAGAAGGGGGAGGAGATCGCCCGCAACTCATGCATCCCCAAGAAATCGTAGTCGCGTTTGGTGCTCGGACGAGGGTTTTCGTCAGCCGCCACGCGGTTGTAGTTTGTGTTGCCGTGAACACCGTGGCGCTGCAGCTCGTGCTGTGACTGCTGCAGGAAACTGCGGAATGAGCACTGCGGCTGGTGCGATGGTTGATTGCGGCACAAAAGGGACGCGCTCTGCGAGTCGACTCTGCCCCCCAGTTCTCGCAAAGACACGACGAAATAATCGGAAGGAAAAAAAACACGAAATCCGTGAGATGCTGCGCGGGATAATAGATAAGAACACAGCGCTGGAGGGCCGTTTACAGATATTTCAGGAAAGGCTGGACGAACAAGAGATGGGACTGCGAGACGTGATTGCTTTGCTCCGTGATTTCATGTTGACTCCCGCGGTGGAATCGCGGAAGTGTTGCCAGACCGGAGGTCCCCATTAGCTTTTTTTCTTTTGTGTGTGTTTTGGGAGGCTTTTTCTGCAGCCACCACACGTCTTTATGGCGGTAGAGAGAGGGAAAGTATGTGCGTGTGTGTGTGTGTCTGTGTGGAGGAAAGGAAAGGAGGGGGATGAGGAAACGAAGCTGACAATACCGTTACTCATTGCCCGTTTGATTGCCATTTGTATTTTAAGTTTAAATGCCTCACGAACGGGAAACAGTGATCGGTTGTGTTCAGATGAAAGCATAGAGAGAGGTGATGCCCCAAGCAAGAAGAGCACTGCGGCAGACCTGCGTATGAGGGTTGAATGCGGAGCAAACATGTGGTGTTTTTTTTTGGCAGGTGTTAGATGCCGCACCTAAAAAGGGCCCGGGCTCACTTTTGTGCCCTACGGATTGCCGACCACACACAAACGAACAAAAAAACGAAAAGTGTTTGCTTTGTTTTTGGTATTGTTGTTTTTTCATGCTACCTCTTCCACATGGTGGCGATTGTAAAGGGGGAAGGCAGTGCTCCGGAATATTGCAAGCGAAGGCCGGAAGCTGGAAAATATTTTAACATGTGTGGATTTGTGGAGGAGGAGGGCATCGGGAGTGCAGTCTGATAACAGCGCCGAGAATTACAACGCTTTGCGGAGTTAGCGAGTAACAAAGGCGCGAGTTTGGAACACACTTGTCGATGCGCCACCAGAAGCGCCATGAAGCGGCCGCAATGATTCACCTGTTGATGACTTGCGTGCGAGTGGATGGGGGAGTAGTTCCGAGGGCTAAAATTGTGGTTTTGGAGCGGCGGTCCTGTTGTTCTTTTGCGAGCTCTGTGGCTCTACGTCCCTTGCTGTGCGCAGCGATGCACTGGGGCTGGAGCCATCAATACCACCCGGCTCGATGACAATTGGCGTACTCTTGCGCGATCTTGTGAGGGCTGAGCAGCCGACAACTCGTCATGGTCAGCGGGGATGTGTTTGTGTGTGCGTGGTGTGGGTAGCCGGAAATTCGATTTTTGGAGTTTTTTCTCCTCATTTTTTTTTCTTGTTTTCTTCTGGCGGTGGTGATGGGAGTGAGGGCGGAATAGCTGCCAACGAGGCGAGTGCGAAGGGTGTAGGCAAAGTCATCAACAACAGAAATAGCATAAAAACAACAGCAAAACAGAAAAAGAAAAGAGAGAGAGAGAGAGAGGGAGAGCATGCTTCGAAGACTGGGTGCGAATGCCGACAAGCTGGCGAGGCCGGTGAACAAGAATGCCGTGACGGTGTCCCGCCGCCACCTTGAGCCCATGAGCACATGGTATTTGGCCTCATGGACCATGGTGTGGTACTACGCCTTTTTCTTCTGGATGCCAATGGTGTGGACGGACCTGATGGTGCCGTCGTTCGTGTACAACAAACTTCCTGTCATTCATTTTCTACAGGAAAAGCGGGCAGAGCAGAAGCTGCGCCGTGTGCTTGATGAGACCTGCACGGAATGGACCGAAGAACTTGATCAGGCGCATATCACTGAGGCCATCACGCGATCATTCAATTTGTGAGACTGAAATAATGAAGAAATTGTGATCCTTTCTTTTGGTTTTTCGTTTTTCTTGTCATGATTGCTTTTGTCGTAGCGGATAAGAAAATTTAGTCGCACCTTTCGCGAATGGGGTGTTGATGGTGAAGGAATGAGTGTTAGCCATATATTTTATATATATATTTACCTGGCTGTTTGTGTTTTGGTAGGGAATTTGAAGTTTCTCGATATAAATGACGGTGGCTGCGGCAAAAGGGGTGGGTGGATGGAGGAGGGAAATTCATTAAGATCCCACGGCTGTGTTTTTACGTGCTGTTTTTTTTTTTTGTTCTCCCACTCAGCGCGGCATTTTTTCCCATCTTTTTTTTTGTATTTTTTATTTTCTGGATAGCACGCTGCTGTTTTGCGTGAGGGGGAAACTTTTTCCCTTCTCTTTTTGTGTGCGTGGGAAAAAAATTGCATTGGGGAGGAGGAGGGGAGGCAATGAGCACACCTGCGGCATTCCTGTCGTCCCCTGCGTCCCTTCGCAGTCGCTGTGAGGAGATTCTGTGCGACCTCGTGGAGACACAGCAGGGGCTTGGGAGGGAATGGAAAAACGTCCAGCCATGCGTCCTACGCGCGTCGCAGCTGCTCTTGCAGCAGGCGCAGCAACAAGACGACCGTTTGGAAAAGCTGGAGGATAAAATGGATCAGGTTCTGAGCGCTTTGGAGGTCATTGCGAACGACTGCCGGCTGAAGGAACAACGCTACCATATGGACCGTGGGACCACTGAGACGGCGCTGCAGGAGCTCCAGCACTCTAGCCAGCAGCTTCACGATGCTCTGGAGATGGAGCGCCGCGCAAACCAACAGTTTCACGAGGGGATTCTGTACCCCGGTTTGGCGGATCTACAGCAGCAGATTGATCGCATTTCGTCGGGTGTCCACCCATCTGTGCCCCCGTCGCAGCCACCACCACCACCACCTTTGCCGGCCGCAGTCGTTGAAGGTAAAATTGATATTGACCCCAAGAGCGGCGTTGAGGACTCCGCATTGAAGGAGATGGTTCGGGAAGTGAGACTTCTGCGCAATCAGTGGCAGCAGTTCCTGCAACAGTCGCGGTCCGCCATGCCAGTCTCGCGGCAGCTCGTCGAGAAGGGACCTCGCATGGATGTTACTACTCGGGCAAAAAACGGAGGGGCTCTGCTCTCTATGATGTATCCGGGTGTGGACTGCAGTGTGGCGCGGTGGCATTGGCGCGGGGGTCACGTGTCATCGCCGGTGCTCTCCCCAGATAGCCCTATCCCGTGGAGCACGTTGCATGTGCGCAAGACAACAACAGGGGAATGGCTGTCAGTTGGCGCAACCTCCGACGGCACGACTGTTCATTCCGAACTCAGCAAGGGGGCAGGGCTCCCATTTCTGTGGCGCCCGCAGCGTCCCTCTGTCATTGAGCTCATAAAAGGCGGCATCTATCGCGTGACGGTCTGTCTGCTAAGCAGTTGCAATTGTCGTACTAGTGCGAAGAGTCCCGGAGGAGGACGGCACGTTGTCACCTCCGCCCTGCCGTCTGTATCGCTTAGGGTCAATCACAAGACCGTTTTCAGCTTTTTCTCCGGTGGGTCCACCCGGTACACGGTGCAGCGGGCAGTGGACACCAGTCGCCGAACTGCTTCTGCTCGCCCTACCAGTAATAACCGAACTGCCACGTCTTGCCAGGCGTGTGCATTTCCTCGTCGCTTTTGTGAGTGCGGTGAATCAGTCATATGCACAACGTCGAACTTCGTGGATTTTCTTCGCCTGCCAGCGGGGCTGTGTGTCTCTGTTCACTGCCACGACTCACCTGACACGAACGCGACGCATGAGGCACTTTTGGAGGTGGAGCTGGTAGCCGGTTAACGAGATTCAAAAAACCTACTCACAATTTTTGCCTCCTTGGCCGTTGAAGGGAACTATTTGCGTGCATTTGCGTCGTATTTACTGCCTATAAGATCCTCCCCTTTTTTCCACACAACGGCAACAGCAAGAAGAGAACGATAGAAAACAAACGAACAAACAAACAACGATCCCCCGCTCTCCGCAGAAACGACAAGGAGACATGAAAAAACACGAAGTGGGGGTGGGAGGGTAATGTCATTGCTGCGATGGCGGCAAATCCGCGAAATTTTTTCTTGTGTATGTCTATTTTCTTCTCTCTCTCTCGCTCTTTTTCCTCAAACACACATACATATATATATATATATATATATATATATATTCTTTTTTTCCGCATTGCTTTTGTGTTCTTTCACGCTCTCCGGGTCATAGAACGTGAACTCCTGCCTGTCCCAGGGAAAGCAGTAGAAAAAAAACAACTTAAGATACGATCCTTCTCACAGGGATAGAAAGAGCACAAAAGTTGATTACATTTAGCTGACATGGGCCAGTCCAATTCATGGGCACTCGCCAGCGATACCATTAAGGGGGAACAATACCGCGCCTACCACGCGGCTCGCCAGAATATCGTGCATCGTGCCTTTCAGAAATGTGTCGCACCTTCAAGCACGGAGGTAAGCGATTTTAACCTCACCAAGGATGAGCAGACATGTGTGGAGGAGTTTGCGCTCCTTTACGCCGCATTTGCCAAGAATGGCTTTGCTCAGTTGAGTCAACTGTATGAGCAGCATCAGCGGGAAATGTATGAAAAGGCGCGGTTGGAAATGATGGCGCAGCAGGCACGAAGAGAATTGAGGCACTAAAAGCCGTTTTTTATTATTTTTATTGTGTGTGTGTGCGTGTGCGTGTGCGTGGATGCCAGGCGAAAGTTACGACGGAACGTACAATTGAGAGAAAAACAAAAACAAAACAAGGACGAGAGGTGGGCATCCTGAATTGTGGTGGGGGGAATTTGTCACAGATAATAATCGGCTAACGCCGGGGCATTCTGCGCAGGATCCACTCTCAATTACACACTAAACCCGCTTAAGGAAATATACATAAATATCCTTCCATTGCAGTAAACAAGTAACGATTTCTGCGGTTTTTTTTTTATATTTTATTTTTGTTTTGTTTTTTCTTTCTTTTATTTTGTTTTTTTTGCGCTTGCGTGTGTGTCTTCATCTTTTCTTTCTCGTACCCGACGCCTGCGTCTTTGCCCGCTAGACTCATATAAAAGTGGGGAACGAGGTAGAAGGTTGCTTGCAGACGATCTAACGAGGTTGCAAACTGGCATCTAAAATGGGAACTCTCGTACCGCCCTTTGCGGCGCCAGAGGCCGACGGCAGCGTTGTCAACAGGGAGGACACGAGCACGCCTCTCCCCGTGCTGCAAAACTCTACGGCGTGGGGGCCGCCGACGGTGCCAAGGACACCGGCGAAGCAGCGCAGAACTGTTCACGGGAACCGAAACGAGATGCGCGTTGCGAAGATCAGCAGCAGTCAGCGTGATCCACGGAGCGCTGTAAAGGATTTCTGCAGGGTCGTTACTTCGAGGAAACGGCCATCCGCAGAGCTGTCGCAGTTCAGCGCATTGCAGTTGGATGACCCGGACAATTCCATGCCGCTTGTCTCACGGGAAGGAAGCAGCGAGGTGCCACGTCGTTGGGGAAGCCGCCCCACGGCACCGCCCTTTTTTTCATCCGCTGCTGTGCTTTTCCCATCTCAAACTCTTTCCTCGCAGGGTGATTGGCTGCCGCGGCGCGGGCTAAGCGCCTCCGTCATCCCTGCCACACCAGAGGGATTGGACTACTCACAAGCCGACACCGAGTACTCCAATTTCTTTAACCAGCGTATTTTAACGGACTACCGGGAAATTAGAGATTTGGGCTGTGGCTCTTTCGGGAAGGTCACGCTTTACGAGGAAACGAGCACAGGGGCTCTGGTGGCGGTGAAAATGTCACCGCCTTTGACGAATCCTGAGCAGCGTCAACGTTTTTTGCGGGAAAAGGCGATCTTGACCCTTGCTCGAGGCTTTCCCCACGTTGTGCAGCTTTCGGAAGCCTGGGAAGAGGGCCGCATCCCACAGATGTATCTTCAGCTGGAGTATTGCAAGGGCGGCTCTGTGGCTGAGATGGCGGATCTGCGGCGAAGGCGCGGGGAACGTTGGGAGGAGCGGGAGTTGTTGATATTCCTTGCGCACATGGCTCTTGCGCTGGATGCGTTGCATAGCGCCAATATTGTACATCTGGACTTTTAGCCAGACAACGTGCTGATAGACGGT